CCCCAAAACCCCAAAACCCCAAAACCCCAAAACCCCTAACTAGATTTAAGAAATAAAGATAACAATTTATAAATAATATTAGAAATACACTATAAAATACCGATAAGAGAACATTATGCTTAAAACTACAGGTAAACGTCTATAAAGACTTGCAAGAACTAGTTTAGACCCTATTAGAGAGGTTTAGAGGGTATTTTGCCATATTTTTGCCAATCTAAATTTGATGAGCTCATGTCTGGATGTTGACCCGTTTCTGATCTATGACAATTAACATCTAATTTCCAGGATTCCCGATCCTATCTCTTAGTCTTCTGATATGAGTTCCTCGAGCTAAGGCTCTAGGAATTAGTCAAGAATACTATGGAGTCTCTTGGATCTGAAATTGCTTTATAATACTCTAAGTGTACGGTATAAAGATTGTATAACCGGCCACATATCGTGTTACGTTTTTAAAATCTGCTACGTTACAATTTTTGCTAACTTTCTGCCATTTAGAGACAACAAATATTTGCAATAATTCTAAGACCATCAATGAAGCCAGAAAGGCCTTGTATGATGCAGTCCTCCTTGATGCTGGACTTTATAAGGCTAACAGTACAAAACAAGTTGATGAAGACCTGACGGAGAAAAATGTCTTTATTGACAGTTTTAATTCGTTCGAAATTGTCCAAAATCTCACAATTAATGTCGGAATTAGAACAGGCAAACCTGCAGCAGGAGTGGATCTTAAGCTCATCAACTCTAAAGAGAGATTCAAAACCAGAGTAGATGCTTTTAGCTTCCTTTCTAAGTATTGGCTTCCTATCAATAGATCGAAGAAGCTTCCTGAGGTTGCTAAAAGGTCACTTTCTCCACTTAAAATTATCTTTGATTTCCAAGAAGAAGAGATCTTTGAGATCCCACCAGAAAGAAATTCCAGAAATATCCAGATTGAGATAGGACAATTCGATGAAAGTCCACTAAAAAAAGTTCAGAGGAAAAGAAGAGTAAAGAGAACTTCTCGTAAAACAAGTGCTAATTGCAACCAGAGCAAGATCATCAAAGGTCTTTCATCAATTTTGAGCGAGTTGGAATCTCAAGATGATACTAAAGTATCAGATTACTGTGACATCACATCCTTAAGAAGTACTAATTCCAGAAAGACTACCTCCAAAGGAAGAAAGTCAGGTACCAGAACGAAGGCTTCTATAAGTTCAAAGTCCATTGCCAGCAACGCTGGGTTGTTAAAGCCTTCCGTAAGAAAAGTGAGGGTTAAGAAAAACAGAATTTCCAGCATGAGTTATGGCAAAATCTGCCTCTCGACCATAGTAAAAAGTCTCGATGAGATCTCTTCAGAACTCTAAACTCTTAATCTCTTCGCTTAAGAGTACATTGCTTTCGTGCATCTATAATGGGGAAGACTAAGCTATGATCTCCATCTAGATGCAGGACAGTTTCATTGTCAGAAGTGCTGGTGACTATGGCACTTCTTATAACTCCTAATTTCTTTAATAAAATACGATTTAACTAAATTCTACAAATCTTGGTCAGATCTTCTTATGTTTTCTGTTACAAAATCTGTTCATGCTAAAAATGGAAAAATTGAGTGCATCAATCCCGATTAGCCATTATGGGGTTTTGGGGTTTTGGGGTTTTGGGGTTTTGGGG